AAATTATATAATTGAAAGAAATACATTAAATTTTTCTGATCTAATAAATTTTCTTACATTAAATTAACCATATCTGACTTTTCTTCGATAAAATTTTATAATATTCTTCAAAAGAAAATATTTACTTGTTTTGAGTACATGATAATGAGTATTTCTAAAATTTGTGACAAGTCTATTTTAAGACTATTATTAAGAAAATATTCTTTGTTAAAGATAACTGTTACTTAAAAGAAGTAAAGTAAACTGAGTAATCATTTTACTTAGCAATAGAATAATATTTTTCTGTGTGTACTTAATCGATTAGTACATAAATTCACAGTTTAACATGTAAAATATTTTCGCATGGATAGTTTGTTTGTGCATCGTATTCGCATTTCTAATTAAAAGATACGAAAACGGAAAGAATTCAAATGGCGAACAGCGTCATTTTTATGTTGTAAACAACTTCTCTATTGGCTCTTTCTTGCTGAGAAATTCTCACAAAACTTGGGAAAACGTGTCGGGGCATAAAAAGAATATACGAATATCGTACGTGATGGAGAGATGCGTACAAAGCTCTTTCGAGACTCTCTTTTTCACGTTTGAACGAGAAAAGACTGAAAAGGGATACTACAAAAGTGTATTTTATTACATGCGAGCATCGCTATGTTTGTTGCCTTTTTCGATCGGCGGATAACTCTATTGCACGAGTAGAAAACATTTTTTACATACTATAAAGAGTTTTTATTTAATCGATAAAGGAATCGACTATAAATCGTGACTAACGTCAGTTATTACATGAACGATACGAAGGAGAGAGATGTATATATAAATCATTCCTGGATTTTTCAGTCAATGCATAGGCCATGTTCCGTGACTCGCATTGGTATAGAGGGATTAAAGAGCACAATGTGCTATTAAGGAGCATAACGAAAGCTTTCGCACGCGCAAAAGCAACAGGACGAATAACTTTTATACGCAACAAGAAGATTTCATATATGTATATATGTAATATCAGAATATTTGAGGTTAGTTACAATTCGAACATAATCTCTTTTTACTCTTTCAATTTATATTTTTTGTTGCATTAAAAAATGCTTTACGCTTTTTAAAAATAAATACAAAAAAGAATTATTAAAAGCTTCCTCTTAGTCTCTCTCCATATAATTCGCCTGAGCTCGCCCACGCCCTCGAGCATCGACACGAGCCGTTGTTTGTCTACTGTCATTGGCGCCGCGCGATATACGTTCTGCACGAGTCAAAAGGTGCACGCAAATTTATTTTAACATTTATTTTGTTTAACAAAAATCGCACATTTGTCATTGGATAATCTTTCCAGCATAAAAATCGAAAATTTAGTCCTTGACTGCGTTAAGAATTATTGAAATTTCGTAAGGTTACTTAAATAATAAACAATGAAAACAAAGCGTTTGGCATAATACATAGATTTTGAAAAAAAAAACTCGACGCCTATGGGATAAAACGATCGTGTAAGAGACGACGTCCGTTCGCTCGTCTTTTCGTCGAGTGAACCCATACCCGTACACGGCAGTCGCTCTCTGCGAGCGGAAGCCATGAATCTTTATTAAATCCACGAAAATGTTGAAGCGGTCGCGTGGCTCGTGAAACGTGTGCCGCTCTCTATGGTCCCCAAAAAAGTATTTATTTCTCCCTTGCTCCCCTTTCTCGTAATGCACGATTCTGATTTACTTTTTGGCTATTTACATTGTGTAACGCGCAACTCGTCATATACATATGTATGTATATTATGAGTCATAATGCGACTTCTTTTTTTTTATTTTCGGTGATACGTCGCTCTCACCGAGTGAATAATCGCGAAAATTGTCCGCAAGGCAAAAATGAATATGATATTTAATTTGATACGATAAATAACCGCTTCCATATAGGCGAATATTTTTTATTTTTACGTTTGCATAATTTTTAATCAAAAATTGTATCAGTGCATAATTTTGCCAAGTGTTGTATATATATATATATGTGTTGTATACGTATTGTTTCCTCAATTATGTTCTATGATTCTTTTCTGCTTTACTAATCGCATAATATAATAGAATGTAAAAATTTATTAATTTTATATGCGAGTACATGCACAAAAAGATGCACAATGCATCGCTCGATGATCTGTATTTTGTGCCGGCCTTTTTAAAAAATGATATTATCAGTGATTTATTTCTGATCTTTTTGCCTCTACGTGCCGGCGTTATTACTATCATAAATTCAGGCATGTCCACGATGTGTTTGATATATCTGACCTGACCTGACCTATTCGCTTGTCTTCCAACTTCCATCTTCCACGCATTTTAGAAATTTTGACATTTCCGCAAAAATAATGAAATTTCTCTAGTCAATGTCGTTTGTATCTTTCTCCTATCTTTCTCACAGATTCATCGCTTGATGAATTATACTGTTTCTTCCATGTATATAATACTGCATTTATGTACAATTCTATTTCGTCATCTGTTGTACTGTGTAATATTTGAGCTTATCTCTTATTTCTCGTCTTTTTTTCACATCGGTCGCTCTCAATATTTTAGCAGTCATCAAATGACACTGCGGTAGATAGAATTTCATGATAAAGAAAATATGATTGGTATCTGATTCGTAACAGCTGGAATATATTCATTATTTTAATCTATATTGTATATGAATGCAGAAATACTTCAAACAAACTCCAATATAATTATCAGTTTCATAAATCTTATTAATTATTTTATTAACTATTTATCTCTCTTCCCTCCCCTTCCATCCTATCTTTCTCTTTCTCTCTCCCTCTTTCTCTCTTACTCTGAATTTAGAAAAATTTAAATAAAGCTACATAAGATTTTGACCAAAAAAGAAAAAGTTTTAGCTAATTCGATATTTAATAATATTACAATACTCATCAAATTAACAATTTAAATTAATGAAGCGAACTCGTAAAGTACATCGCGCTAATTCTATATTTTATCCATTCCTTGCGATAATTAATATTTATGATAATGTAACACCATGCTATAAAAAAAGCGTTACTTTTCTTTAAAGAACGGTCAGGAAAGCTGATAACAATTGTTCAACAATTAATATCTGAATCACATCGGTCGCTCTCAATATTTTAGCAGTCATCAAATGACACTGCGGTAGATAGAATTTCATGATAAAGAAAATATGATTGGTATCTGATTCGTAACAGCTGGAATATATTCATTATTTTAATCTATATTGTATATGAATGCAGAAATACTTCAAACAAACTCCAATATAATTATCAGTTTCATAAATCTTATTAATTATTTTATTAACTATTTATCTCTCTTCCCTCCCCTTCCATCCTATCTTTCTCTTTCTCTCTCCCTCTTTCTCTCTTACTCTGAATTTAGAAAAATTTAAATAAAGCTACATAAGATTTTGACCAAAAAAGAAAAAGTTTTAGCTAATTCGATATTTAATAATATTACAATACTCATCAAATTAACAATTTAAATTAATGAAGCGAACTCGTAAAGTACATCGCGCTAATTCTATATTTTATCCATTCCTTGCGATAATTAATATTTATGATAATGTAACACCATGCTATAAAAAAAGCGTTACTTTTCTTTAAAGAACGGTCAGGAAAGCTGATAACAATTGTTCAACAATTAATATCTGAAACATCGTGAAGTCGATCCTGCGAATGTATACATCAAACGTTTATTAGACAGCTTGTAGAAGAAACTTTATGTTATTACGTGAGGTGCATAAATTCTTGCAAAAGCTAATAAACTTGATCGCATTTAAATGACGGGTGCAATCGGGTGGCTCGTTCGTCTTAACAGTGAAGCAACAACTAGTAGGGATGATTTATAGCGAGTCGAAGAAGAGTAGGAAGAAGAGTCTAGAGTTTAGGTAGAAGGTAATGATAAAAGAAAGAAAGAGAGGGGAGCAAAAAGTGTGTGTATGTATGTGTGTGAGAGAGAAAGAGAGAGAGAGGAAGCGAACGGAAGGAGAAAGGGTATATCTACACATCTTTGGTGTAAGAGCGTC